GGGCACCATTTGTCCAAAACCTCCTTGGCCATGGGAGAAGAGGTCTTATATGTTGGACAAGTCCCCACTGTGAGAGAAAACTTCTCACTTAAAAAATTTTAAGAGGTTTATTAAAACTTAACAAAAATACAACAACAGGACTAAATAAGGAAAAAGTTGCAGCGCTGGAAACTGCCTTCATGGCTGCCTCCCACGTGGTCGGTTCCTCTTCAAGATGCATGCTCATTCTTTCATACTTTTGGGGGTTACATCAGCCAGCCCTGGCCCCTCCCAAAGTCTGTCAGTCAGCTCTTCTTTGCCATTTATTGGTGGAGACTGTTTTCTTGTAACTTGATTGGAGATCAGGTGTTGTCATGCTGCACCCCCTAAGCAACAAGCTTTTCTGTTCCAAACTGCCCCAGGTAAGGGCTACATATACATGCCTTCTTTCTCCTTGTCTAAGACAACCCAGGCTGTCTGATGGTCACAATGCAGAGGAGGGGGGTGGAAAAGGGAACTATGGGGAGAACAGAGGACATCTAAACTACAATAACATAACTATACATCAATAAAGCTTCTCTTAATATTCACACAATATTCATTCCTTAATTGCGAGATCCAATTATCTCATTATCAATAACACCAAGAGGGGACTTCCACCCCTTTCTGTGTGTGCTCTAGCACCCATTGTGTGGTACAAGGGACACAAGGCTCTCCCTGTGCCTGTCTCCAAAAGTTTCAAGCAGAGACTCGAGCCTCTCCACCTCAGAACTTATGGGGGTCTCCACAACTCCTCTGTGGCCACCTTAGGCTGATCATGCTGTGCATGCCTTCTTCACCCACTACCCATGATTTTACCGGATCTGCACCAAATGTCACAACAACAGAGAGGCTCAAATCCACCTTTTTATTTTACACAGACTGTGCACACGGAATTATAACACTCCTCCTCTGTCTCCTTCCTTCCCTGAAAATCCCAGCAGCTGGATATTTGGAGGAGGGAGGCTCCAGAGGTACTCTGTGGATGCCAGCCTGGTCAGGGACAGAGAAACAGCAATAGCTTCTCACAGTGGCTTGTAAGAATTTTAGGGAGTTGTAGGAATGTGATAACTTGTTAGTATAAACAATCTGCAGGGGATGTTTTTCCACTTTGTTTTCCTGTTCTTCTCAAGGACGGTGTGTGAGAAAGATGTTTTTTATTAACTAGCCAATCAAGTAGAATGTATTGTATCAGTTTATATAAACCAGAGAATCCTTTGTAATAAACTTTCCTTTTCTCCTCTTGCAATTGGGTCTCTCATCTATTCTTGTGTCATTCTTGGCTCAAGGGTGACACTCCTCTACATTCCTATCTAGGGTACCATAGTGCTAAAGAAACTCCCCTGTGTGACCATTCTAGAGACAAGGGTTGCTCCAGCGAGCTGCCAGGTGCCCTGTTTCATTCCCCACCCATGCCACTCTCACCCAGTCAGAGCATGTTTCTGTACCCATTCCACCCTGAGGTTCCATCAGCAGAGTTGCAGATGTCTCATTCCATAAAGAGCCACCAGCTCCTTCTGCAGCTCTCAGTGTTGTCCTGGTTTAAAAGACAGGTGTCTGCCAAGGAAGGCGGGAACCTCCTTTGGAATGGATAATGTGAACCCCCTTCCCTCCAAATTATTATGACTTTGAAATTACCAGGTTTTCAGGCAAAGATATGAGAACAGGAATAACAGTTCTTTACTAGAATGTAGAGGAGTATCTCTAAAAGACAAACAAAGAACAACAACGGCAGTACAACAACAGAACAGAAAGAGAAACCCAGTCCCTTCCCCTTTGCTGCAGTTCCCGTCATGGCCAGCAGGGTGCTGGTGGCTCCTGGCCAGGCAGGGTGGGTGCGATGATTCCCCCACGGCTGCAGGGTCACTGCAGGGTCGCTGCAGGGCGCTGTGTCGTAAGCTTGGCCGCCTCGCTCCACACCGTAATGGCAGAAGAGGTAGAGAAGGGGCTTCCTTTGGAAACTCACAGGAAGCAGCCGGTCTCAGTGCCACTTGGAAAGCTGAATGGACTGCGGCAGGAACCTTGTAGCAACAGACTAGAACAGCAGAGGCAGGCCCATCCTGGAGTGACCAACAAAGTGTAGCAAAGATTCCAGAGCCGTGCTAGAAGCCACGGAATGTTTGAGCAGGCACGGAGTGTCAGGTTAATGTGTAATAAAAAAGCCTAAATCATTGTCATAAAACAGCACAGCTGGGCAGTGGTTGCCAGGCTACTGCAAGCAGCAGCCACAAGTAGCTGGGAGATACACCCTCTGGGAAGGGGGAAGGAGTCAGGATCACCTTCCCAGTGAGGTTGCGCGTTAGAAAGGTCCCAGTTCAACAGCCGCTCTTGTGAGCAGAAGCTCACCCACAAAAAAGAGAAAAGAAGTTCACAACAGAATTCCACTGTGGTAGCAAATTCACCCACAGCAGCAGCAAACCGGGCCATTCTCCTCTTGCCCTGAGAAAGAGCCTAGCCCCTCAACCCCAGCCAAAATCTCACAGTATCTCAACACTTCCCAAGAGAACCTCACTGCTCAGAGACAGTAGCAAACTGCACCCTTCCCACTCCTCCTTGGTTATATCTTTTGTCTCTCTTAAGTATCTGTTGTTCTCATCTCTTAGGCAGCAAACAGAAGAAAATTCCCTGAGAGAAAAGAAAAGGAGATGAAAAAAAAATCCCAAACTCCAATAAGTGTCCATTGCCCTGGCCTGCTCCTTGTGCCCTCTGTCATGTGAAGAGTGTGCAACCTCTGGTCCCAGGTTCCTGTCAGCCAGAGCTCAGTCTGCAGCTGGCACTGCAGCTGCACACCCAGCTCCCTGCCCCAAATGGATTCCTCAGCTGCTGCCTGCCCCGGGGACTGCAGAGCCTCATCCTGCAAGAAGAGGGGCCTAAAGAAAGCAGCAGAGAACCTTCTTACAAGTGCAGGTCCTGATAGGACAAGGGGCAATTGCTTTACAGTGACAGAGGGCAGCTTCAGCTGAAATCATAGGAAGGAATTCTTGACAGTGAAGAATTTGAGGAATTCTTGCTGATACACTGACATAGGTTACCCAGAGCAGCTGTGGATGCCTGTTTTTCACGTCGGCAGGGTCAGCACAGAACAGACACCAACTTCAGGAATAAATGTAATTTACTATAATTCAAACTTGCAAAGAATTGCAAAAGGATATGTAAGCTGGACATCAAATCATTAGCAAAGAATTGCAAAAGGATATACCATGCAATGCATCAAATCATTACTATAACAACTGCCTACTGTGATGAAGAAACACGCATCACAAGTTACCCTAATCCTTGACCATCATCCAGACCTGTCTATCAACGGGGGGGGAGCCACTGTCACAGTGAAGGACACGGGAACCACTGACAGCAACTGGGAAATCTTGCATCTGCCTTCCCCTACAGGCAGTGAGGTTACTGACTGTGTGTGTGCGCTCCTTGTTTTTATTCCATTGAATAAACAAGATACCAAAAGTTCTACTGCCCTAACATGTGGTTTCAGTCTCCTATGGGGATTCCCCCAAGGCCTTGGAGGGCTTCAGGAGGAACCAAGGGAGTTGTTTGTGATCCTACACCCCCCAAACAAGGCAAGATAGGGCCTTGTCCAGTCCCTAAGTATGGAAAGGTAAATCCATGTTTTGCCAGTGGGTGAACGTAGACAACTTTTGGTTGGAAGATTCATCCAGAGGCCAGCTCTTGGTCAAGGCCTGTTGTTTTAGCCTTAGTCAGGGCCTGTTGATCAGGACTTAGTACTTCAATGCCCCATCCCTCAAAGTGTTCAAGGACAGCTTCTGAGCCAGACTGTGCACATTGTGGACAACTGGGTCTACTGCAAGCTATCCCTCCCTGCCCATGGTAGCTGGTTGGAGCTATGTGATCTTCAAGGTCCCTTCCAGCCCAAACCATTCTATGGCTCCTTGATTCGATGCAGCACCTCCCCCAGTGGGCCCCCTGTCACAGACCACAGTGCCCCAAACATGGAATCCACCCCTCCGTGACATCAGCCCTGAGGCCAAGGGCACCATGGGCAGCACGGCTGCTGTGAGCACTGTGGCTGTAGTACTGCATGGAGCCCTCAGTGCTTGCAGCTGACACGTGCCTCTGGCAGCCATGAATTGCTTTGGCCTCCTCATCCTGCTGACCATGGCCAGGCTGGCACAGAGCATCCAGTACACCTGTGGGTAAGTGGCCCCGGACCCTGAGAGGGAGCCACGGCAACACTTGTGGCCCTCCCTGGAGGGGACCTGCCTGTCCCCCATGGCTGAACTACAACACCCCATCCACAACGGGGTATGAGCATAGAAGCTCACTGTGATTCCCCTGCACAGATTGGCTGGGAGGAGCTGGCCTAATAAGAAGGGAGAGGAACAATGGAACTGTCCAGAAAATAAAAAACTTTAATAGCGAAAATAACAAACATCACACAGGTACAGAGGCTAGGTTCCAAAGACTTCATGGGCAGGGCAAATGGAGCCAGGTATAGGGGCACAATGTCCAGTCAGAAAGGTGAACTGAGGATATGACCTGATAAGAAAAAGGTCTTGACCAAAGGTGAAGGAAAACTGGAAACTTGACCAAATATAGGAAGGTTCTATAAGCATACTAATTCCCAAGACCCCATGGTTCCCACTGTGGCCTGGTCAGATGTCCCTTCTCAGCATACTGTCTGCCACAATCTGAGTTCAAAACATTCTATAAAAGCATCTGAGGTAAAAACATCAGCAGGACAAGATCCCAGAACGGGGAAGCTTCAGTTCGTTGCCAGCAGTCAGGTGCTGGCACGGACAGACGCACACCCCGTGGGCTTCCCTGGCCTGCTGTGCATGCAAGCCCTTGTGGGGAGGGCAGAGGGCTGAGCTTCAGCCTGAGCCACAGCAGGCCATGAAGCAGCACAGAAATTACTTTCTGCTTGCAGAGGAACTTGTGGGCTCCGAGCTCTGCAATCTGTCTATCATCCCACAACTAATTCCTACGGCAATGTGGCTTATGACTCCGGCATGACACGTGTCGTGGGTGGCACAGGTGCCCTGCCAGGGGCCTGGCCCTGGATCGTCAGCATCCAGCACCCCTGGGTACGAGGCCTGAAGCATCTGTGTGGAGGGTCCCTCATCAGCAAACAGTGGGTCCTCACAGCAGCCCACTGCTTCGACAAGTTTGAGTAAGGAGGAGCAGGGAATGGGGACATCCCCACAATCCCAGCAGGTGCCCTGTCAGCAGCACCACCTGCTACTCCCATCCCCTTTCCTCTCAGGCAGCCAGGCTGGCACACTGCTCAGGAGAAGCCTGGGCTTGTGCCAAGGCTTCCTAGCAGCCTCCAGCTTGACATTCCCTCAGCCTAAGGTGTGCAAAGGCACTCATACCTGCCAGAGCACTGCTCCCTCACTGCCACGCCAGGAGATTGCTGAGCTGCTGTGGCACATGTCTCTGCTCCCTCTCAGCTCTCTCTCCATGCCTTCTAGGGAAATCAGCATGGTGTATGTGGTGACTGGGGTCACTCAGTTGAGTCAACCAGGCCCTGGGACACAAGTGCGCCATGTCAAGCAGGTGCTGATTCACCAATACTACAACCCTGATGACATGAGCTACGATATTGCCCTGGTGGAATTGGACCATCCAGTCCAGTGCAATCGCTACATCCAGCTGGCCTGTGTACCTGACGCCACACTGAGAGTGTCAGAGCTGCAGAACTGCTGGGTGGCTGGCTGGGGTTCCACTGCTCCAAGAGGTGAGTCCCCAAGAGTGACTCCTGGGCCAGTGCAGCCCTGGAGTGCTTGGGCTTCTCCACAGAAGAGGCCGAAGTTGGAGTCAGGCTGCAGGACATATACCTCTGCAGAGATGGGCCTGGCTTGCTCCCCAAAGACTGGCAGCAGATCCAGTGCCTCTGCAGAGGCAAAGCCAAGCCATGGATCCCCTACAAGACACCCATGGGTGGAGAACTGGGATGTTGCTGCTGGGAGGTCATTTGTTTCTCTTGCTCACAGCTCAAAAATCAAGTGATCACTTGCAAGAGGCCAAGGTCCAGCTCATTGATGTCCAGCTCTGCAACAGCAGCCGCTGGTACGCAGGGAAAATCCACACCCACAACTTGTGTGCTGGTTACCCACAGGGTAACATCGACACCTGCCAGGTAGGAGCGTGCCATGAGCCACTCAGCCCCCAGCAGCACTGGCAGCCAGGGCAGCACCGCCCCAACATAGCCCAGGGCCTGCTTTGCCCGGCCACTCAGTCGCCCTCCCAGCCCCAGCTCCCCCCCGACTGCTCTGGGGTCTTCCCACAGACTCCCCATCCACACCTGCCTGCCCAGGACTCCCCTTGTGCCCAAAGCCCAGAAAGCCCAGCTAGTGCTCTTGGCAGCACAGAGGTCCAGGTGCCAAACATCCATCCTCTGCACATCCAGGAGTCCTGAGCAGAAACGACAGAGAGAGCCTTACCCTATAGGACCCCATGCCATTCACATGACTTCTGGAGGCTCCAGCCCCTGAGCAGAGCTTTCCTCTGCCCAGAATACAGCTCTGTTAGGGGCTGTGAGAGAGAAGGAGACAGCCCCAGTGCTGGCAGGTGCCACCAACACCATCTTAATCCTCTGTGCTCTGCTGCAGGGTGACAGCGGTGGTCCTCTCATGTGCCAAGAGAAAAACAGTGACTACTGGTGGGTCATTGGAATAACCAGCTGGGGAAAAGGCTGTGCCAGAGCAAGGCGTCCTGGAATCTACCTCTCCATTCAGTACTTCTATGACTGGATCCTACTCTACATGAACCTGAGCCCAGATGGAAGTTCCTCTCCATCATCTCGGGCATGTAGTCATTTTTTGATCACTTCACACCCCTGGAGTCATTATATTCCCATCCCACAATCCTCTCAGAAGCCATGGGTAAGACCAACCCTCTCTCCAAAACCAACTCCAGTACGAACATTGGGCAAAGTTAACTGCTGCCCATTTCCCTTCAAGATTATGATGGAATTCTTTACTCAAGTGAAGGAATTCCTCCAGCAGACCTTTGGTCAAAACACATCTTGAGCAACAGGACAGCCATGGTCTAGGGCACCACAACAGTTTCCTGCTGGGGCAATGCCTGCTGATCCAAAGGCAGCCTCAGGGTCAAAACCCTGCTCTGTCCTGACCACAGTCCTCTCCTTTGTGCTCACACACAATGGAGTTGACTTCCCTGAATGAAGTAAAGTTGTCTATGGTCACAGGGAACCATTGTTTTGGTCCAATTCCAACTCCTGGGCAAAGCAAGGACTTCCATGGTTGGCACCTGCAGAATGAGCCTGAAGTCAGACCTGCCAGGCACAAAGGGACAGAGTGGCTCCAAAGAGCTGGTGAGAAAGGAGAGTGCTCTGAGCCAAAACTCATTTGCCCTTAATTTTCCACAGCACAATGGCATGGACAGTGGCCTGTGGCTTAGAGCATTAGCATCCTCCTCTTCTCTCTACAGCATTCTGTTGCTGTATGTCACTGGCCACCCTGGCGTGAGGGTGCCAGAAGTGCCCTCCTTAGATCAAGCCCAAAACAGCAATAGAACTCACTGGCAGCAAGGGCATGGAGCCTGCCGGAGGACATTTCTCTGGCTGATGGCACCAGCACAGACTGTGCTGCACCTGCATTTCACTTCTCTTCTGCAGGAAGAATGATGTAGCTTGGGCACTTCACTGCTCAGCCACTGTGGCTGTGACTGGATTGGCTCCTGACCCAAGAACACACATGCTTCCTGAAGGAGCCCTGTTCCACAGAATTTGTGTTTTGGGAAGAATCTTGTGGGGAAAAAGTCTGCAGAGAGCAGGGTACTAGTGAAATTCCCCAGGGGCTGCACAGCCTCATCCTGCAAGAAGAGGGGCCTAAAAGAAAGCTGCAGAGAGCCTTCTTACAAGGGCAGGTTCTGATAGAACAAGGGGAAATGGCTTTACAGTGACAGAGGGTAGCTTCAGCTGGGATCATAGGAAGGAAATCTTGATTGTGAAGGTACTGAGGCACTGGCATGAGTTGCCCAGAGCACCTGTGGATTCTCCATCCCTCAAAGAGTTCAATGACAGGTTTTGAGCCAGGCTCTGAGTAACTGGGTCTAGTGCAAGTTATTCCTGCCCACAGGAACTGGATGATCCTTAAGATCCCTTCTAATCCGAACCATGATTCTAAGATCTGTGGAGTACATTGAGTAAAACTCTGCCTTCTTCAGCCGCACTTATGGTCTCCAGCTGTCATTCATTAATGTTACTCAGCATGAACAAGTGTGACTATACTGTCATATGCAGAATTCCACATTTGGTCTTGGATAATAAATAAAAATTAAACCACCAATTTAGCAACAGTTACAACAGACACATCTACACCATAATGTCAAATTGTTACAATCACCTTATCAGATATCTGCATTAGTGCCTTCTGAGTAATGTGGCTGATACTCATGAGGGGAGAGAGAGAGAAAGATCAAGTACTATATACAAAGTATAAATATATATCTAAAATATAAAAATAGCTGTCACAAAGTGTTCTCTTTTGGGGTATCTGTGACAGACTTAGCTGATAATGCATTGAATTCTTTGTTGCGAGCTCCTACATGAGGACCAGGCAGAATGGGGACAGGACTGGGAGCATGAGGATTCCTTACTACTGGCACAGACAGTTTATGAGATTCAGTAAAGGTTGTATTTGGAGAACAGAGGATGCACCTCATAGTTATCTTTTCCTATATATTGCACTTCTTGCATATAGAAAAAGAATTCTAAACCTTTATTTTGGAGAAAAAACAACAAACTGGAGAAATTCTTCCCATTTTGTACCTAGACTGGGTGTTCTGACTCACAGCAAAGGCAAGAGAGGGGTAAAGATGGGATGGGACAGACAAAATGTCTCATCTGATCATTCTGAGCTGAATTAAGTCTGGATTTAAGCAACCTTTTCTCCTCTCTACATACTTAGGACCACTGCAGGCATGTCCAGCTGAAATTAATCTACAACAGCCTGTAAGGCTTAACAAAATTCTGGCTGCGCCTTGTTCTAAATTCATTCTTTGCAGCTTGAGGTAATGTGAAAGGCATGAAGACTAGTGTCTCAATCTGACTATTCTTGAGATTTTCACAAAGCCCTCTGGAGTGTTTACTATAGTGGCCTTCAGTTACAAGAATATTTTAACCCAATCTCTAGATAACATGAATCCTAAAGTCACCTTGCAGGTTTATGTTTTTGAAGTAATAAGATTTTTAAGATAACCTGGATCTATTAAAATCTAAAATTAATATTTGTTATTAATGCTGTTCCCTCAGAGCTCTGTCATTTGCATTTCTTTATTTTCACCCAAGTGAATAAATTAGCTGTAGCAACTAGCTATCTGATAAAATTAAAACGGCCTTTACAGTCATCTATATTGGCTTTGGGAAATAGTGGCAAGTCTAGAGGGTGCTGCAAAACAGAGAGAAATTGAAAATCAAGACCATGGCTTACTAGCAGATGCATTAAAGGGGGTGCAGGATAACATATCTTTAGCCCTTAGCTGTATACAAACACAATTATGGGTACAGTCAACAGCTGCTTTAATCAAAAGAGAAGGAGGTGAAGGGGTGTTCCCAATTGAAGTGCAAAAGTTTGTCTGGGACAGTGCTACAGACTTGGAGAGAGATTTCCAATCTTGGTGGACCATTTAATGCATAATCCCACCACTAACACAGCTACGGCCTTTGTTGTCACTATATGTAATGCCACAGTTCATGCTATTCACCCCGTTGTTGCTTTAGGGTTAAGTCATGAGAAGTCAATTATAACCCTCAGAACATAGGGTATGGGCCTGGAAAATCCAGGGGAAATGGCAAACCGTAAACTTGGAGCCTTGCATTGCTCAAGAACAACAGGGATTCATCTGTGAGAGTAATTCAATTAGTGCTCAGGTCTGCTCTTGACACTGACCAAGGCATCTGCTACTTTGAGATCCACCTGGACACCAACCAACGGACTGTATTATTGTACATAGGTGATGGCTGTGTGTGTTTAAGGACTTTGTGTGACTACATAGAAATTGATAAGAGCAAGGTACCCTTATCTGTTAAGAATCATTCCAATTTTTGTATTTGCAACTTTATTAAGGTTACTGGGTGTGACTTTGTATATTCAGCACCAGTCGTATCTCACCAGTTAATAAAATCAAACTACACGACATACAATGAGTTACCACCCACTCCCATTGGAATGGATTTAACTCTAGTAAAACAATTAATGAAACATCAGCATCTAATAAAAATTGTAAAAGAGATTCAAATGAATGGGCAGAGAACTCTAGTAACTCTAATCCATCACCATGTAACAGAAATAAAGAGAGTCCTACAAAGAGTAAAATAAGACACAAGTCATAACTGGTGGGATGCACCGTTTGGATGGTCACCAACCACAACTGGGATCATGAATACTTTATGTCACCCCATTATAGTTCTATTAATTTTAGTTACTATAAGTTTAATGATGTCTATTTTAACACTCATGTGGAATTGGAGGATGTTGAGACGCGTGGCCATTTTGACTTCACTCTCTAGAACTCATGGAATCTTGCTGAAGGAGAACTGTCATGATTGTAGGTCAGAATTTAGATCAGGGCTCCTGTAGTAAAATAATTTACTATATTTTAAGAAAAGGAGGGACTGAAATGGAGGTTTTGGGGGTTTGCTTATGTTAGAAATATGAATTAAGCATTTAAATTTTAGTTTGTAGGATTATGTGTTGAATTTTAACCTTTTACTTAAGAAACCTCTGCCATGGTACGAAGGGCATAGGAAAATGCAAACTTCTGAAGCTTCTTGCAATAAAGAACAATACCAGGACAAGACCAAGGAATGCAAGAAACCCAGGTAAAGGGGTTCCTCTGACTCCAAGCTGATAGAAATCGACAGACCTACTCAGATAAGCACCAAGGGATCAAAGCGCACGCATAAAGAAGAAAAGTTCAAAAGTTCAACCATGAGGAAGACCACTGCCTTTAGCCTCAGAGACCACCCAAAGACCCCTGTGAGACCACCACCATGAACAACACATGCCCAGAAGGGCATGGATCTAATTACCATGCGGGGCAAGGACAGGCGGGGCCAGGAGTTGAATATGCATGAAAAGGTTGTGCGATATAATGTAAATGGAACACCTTTGTGAATAAAGATGTGGCTCAGACCAGGGCTCAGGGCACAAGTTTTCACAAGAGCTATCTCTCTTGTGCTGGGCGCTGACATACATACCCACTTCATAACTAAGTCAGGTCGTGGAGTCTATTTTTCCACATATTGCTTCACAAGTATATGATGTAAACAGAGTTTGTTTAACAGAGAAACGAGGTACATTCCCACATACACATACTTACAGAGGATGGTAAAACCCACAGCATTTTTACTTCTCACAGTTTCCTCTGCATTTTTGGAAGTCTGTCTGGGGAGAGATTCATACCATAAAGCACTCATATCCATCTTGAAATGCCAGACCTCCTGGTTTGAGATTGCAATACTTAGTCCCCTTCATTCTGTGTAATAAAGTTACCCACATTCCTCCTTGGTACATTTCAGGCTTATGTGAAGTTGTGAGTGTTGGGATTTGAGTAATTGTAAACCATGCCTAATGCTTAATAAAGGAATGGTTTAGATCACCCATACATGCATCCTGAACATACCAGAGTTGTGCATACCTGATTCCTATCGTGTGCTGAGACAGGATTTTTTATTTGAAAGGCCATTTCTAGTAATGAAAGCAAACCCTGCTCCTATGACATTTCTGCCAATGTGTAGCAGTAGGATGTGCAGCACTAAAGCCCAGATGGAGACAACCTGTCTTGTTCCTGTTTTTTCTCACCTTGGTGGATTAGACTTCCATGCTGGCATCCCTGACTGTCCTTATCCCTGCACACAAAGGGGAGCTGTTGCTGAGCAGCTGTGGACCATGCACCACAGCCTGGTTTGAAAATGAAGAATTAACTAGATTAGTTTTGATGAAGACAAAGTACAGCTGAAGAACAGGCAGGAGAAAGGAAAAAAAGCAAAATAAAAGGCAGCTGT